CCATGTAGATAACACAGGATATACATAGAGCACGGCTATAAAAAATAAATTATAAATAATTAAAAATAATTTTAATGTGGATATACGTGCCTGTATCTGCTTCAGCACAGCTGGAGAGGAGGAAGAGGGGGAAGAGGAGGAAGCGAGGGGAGGTCTTGGAGCGATGGGGTATCTCAGCCTGGTGGGGAGAGCTGTAGTGGCCAAATATACTTATATATTTATATATATTTATATATATTTATATATCCATGTAGATAACACAGGATATACATAGAGCACGGCTATAAAAAATAAATTATAAATAATTAAAAATAATTTTAATGTGGATATACGTGCCTGTATCTGCTTCAGCACAGCTGGAGAGGAGGAAGAGGGGGAAGAGGAGGAAGCGCCGTACCCAGGGCGCTTTAGGGGTCCCAGCCCCACCTTTTTCCAGCCCCAAAAATCCCCTTTTTTTCCCCCAAAAAAATTTTCAGGAGCGATTGGCAGCTTCCCTCAAAGCCCTGCAAGAGGAGGACGAGCGACGCGCGGGGCTGGTGGCGGCGGCGGAGGAGACGAGGCAGGAGATGCTGGTGGGTGTTCGGGGGGGTTTCCTGGGGGGGTTACTTCATCCTCATCCTCCATCCTCCTCCTCCTCCTCCCTCCCCAGGCTCGAGTGGAAGCCGAGAAGCGGAAGGTGCTGGGGGTGCTGGAGGGGCTCCGGCGGGTCCTAAACGAGCAGGAATCGGGTTTTTTGCTGCGTTTGGGGCGTCTGAGGCGAGGCCTGGAGGAACGACGCCGCCGGGACGTCGCCGAACTCACCCGGCTCCGGCAACGCCGCGCCGAGCTCCAGGCCAAGCGCCGGCAACGGGACGGCGACCTGCTGCGGGTGAGTCCAACCCCCCCAAAAAATATCCCCTCTGTTCCCCTCCTTCCTCTTTTTTTGGTGACTTTTATTCCCAGGCAAACCTCTCTCTCTCTCCCTTCCTCTCCAGGATGCTCAAATCACCCTCAGCAGGTACCAGGGGCCAAAAAGCAGCACCAGAAACACCTTTTTTTGGGGCCAAAGTCTTCTGTTTTGGGGGGGGGGGTCCTCCTCCTTCCTTCCTTTCCTCCCTGGTTTTAGCTTTTAAGCTAAAATCCTCCCGAGATTTTAGCTTTTAAGCCACGGGGAGGTTGATGGTTGATCCCTTGGTGACCTCCTGTCGCATCTTGCAGGAGATGGAGCCTTTTCTTGGGGGGGGGGGAAATAAAGCTTCCCCACTGGTTTTTCAGGGCAGGGAAAGGAAATTTGGGGGGTTCTGGGCATTAAACACCCCCATTTCCCTCCCTCCCCGCCCCGAGGTGCACGGAGTGGAAGGCTCAGCCGTCGCTGCCGCCGATGCCGGAGCTGGAAGCGGAGATTGAGGATTTTGCCTTGAAAAGCAACATGTTTGCTGAGGCCGTGACACAGTTTACAGGTATTTGGGGAAGGGAAAGGAAAAATAAAAAGGGGATTTAGGGATTTAATAAGGAAAAACAGGAGCCTGGAGGGGGGCTGGAGGGAGGGGAGACCCCCCCCAGGGTTGGTGAAGTTTGGCTGGAAGGTCTAAGTATCGCAAATGTCCCTTTAATTTAAATATTAAAAAAAAAAAAAAAATCAAAAAAAAAGCAGGGATTTATTCTCTTTATAGGAGCCTTAGGGGGTGGGAAGCTGCAGAGAGCGGCTGGCTGTTAATTGGCACCCAAATTAGAACGTTAATTAGATGGGGAGGGAGGCAACGCCCCACAGAAAGGGGCTCCCACCTCTCCATGGGATGGGGAATGGGGGGAGGGGGGGATGTGGGGCAGCCCCAAGGCTGGATCCAGGGGTCCAAATCTCTGGGGTCACCTTCTCTTTGCAGCCGTGGTGGGGCTCTCGCTGGAGGAAGACGCGGGGGGATACCGGAGAGGTGAGTGGGGCTCCAGGGCTGGTCCTGGGGTTCAGCATCACGAGGTGGGGCTGGGCTGTGAAATCTGGAGCTGGTGCTTGGGTGCAACCCCCCAGGGCCGATGCTCTGGAGCAAGATTTGGAGCTGAAGCTTCTCCAAAAGACCCAGGGTGGGTGCTCAGGGGTGGTATCTGGAGCTGAAGCTCCTCTGAAAGACCAAGGGTGGATGCTCAAGGGTGGCATCTGGAGCTGAAGCTCCTCTGAAACACCCATGGTTGGTGCTCAAGGGCATCATTTGGAGCTGAAGTTCCAGGAAAACACCCAGGGTGGGTGCTGAAGGGCAGAATTTGGAGCCAAAGCTCCTCTGAAACACCTGGAACCGATGCTCAGGTGCAATATTTGAAGGTGATGCTCCACTGAAAGGGCTAGGGTGGGTGCTCAAGGGCACCATCTGCAGCTGAAGCTCCTCTGAAACACGCAGGTGGGTGCTCAAGGGTGGTACGTGGAGCTGAAGCTCCGGTAAAACATCTGGAACTGATGCTCAGGTGCAATATTTGGACCTGAAGCTCCTTGGAAACACCTGGGTGGAACTCAAGGGCATCATTTGGAGTTGAAGCTCCAGGAATTCCAGGAAAGCACCCAGGGTGGGTGCTCAAGGGCAGCATCTGGAGCTGAAGTTCCTCTGAAACACCCAGGGTGGTATTTGAGCTGAAGCTCCTCTGAAAGACCTGGAACCGATACTCAGGGGCGATACTTGAGGGTGATGCTCCACTGAAACGCCCAGGCTGGATGTTCCGGTGCTGTATTTGGAGTTGATGCCCCGGTGTGACATCCAGATGCCAAGTTCAGGGCTGATGCTGAGGACCAGACCCTGAGACTGATGGTTGGGTGGAATATTTGGAGCTGAAGCTCCTCAGAAACACCCGGGGTGGGTGCTCAAGGGCAGCATTTGGAGCTGATGTTCCTCTGAAACACCTGGAACTGATGCTGAGGTGCAATATTTGGAGGTGATGCTCCACTGAAATGGCCATGGTGGGTGCTCTGGTGCAATATTTGAAGCTGAAGCTCCAGGGAACCACCTAGAACCTATGGTTGGTGCCAAATTTAAGGTGATGCTCCACTGAAGCCCCCAGGGTGGATGCTCCAGTGCAGTATTTGGAGCTGAAGCTCCAGGGAAACACCCAGGGTGGGTGCTCAAGGCAGCATTTGGAGCTGAAGCTCCAGGGAAACACCTGGAACTGATGCTTGAGTGCAATATTTGGAGCTGAAGCTCCAATGCGACATCCAGATGCCAAGTCCAAGGCTGATGCTCCGGACCAGACCTTGGGACTAATAGTTGGGTGCAGTATTTGGAGCTGAAGCTCTGGGGCAACACTGAGGGTGGGAGTGCAATATTTGGAGCTGAAGCTCCAATGCGACATCCAGATGCCAAGTCCAAGGCTGATGCTCCGGACCAGACCTTGGGACTAATTGTTGGGTGCAGTATTTGGAGCTGAAGCTCTGGGGCAACACTGAGGGTGGGTGCTCAAGAGCATCTTTTGGAGCTGATGTTCCTCTGAAACACCTGGAACTGATGCTGAGGTGCAATATTTGGAGGTGAAGTTCCAGGTAAACACCTGGAACCGATGCTCAGGTGCAATAGGTGCACTATCTGAAGGTGATGCTCCACTGAAACGCCCAGAGTGGGTGCTCCAGTGTAATATTTGGAGCTGAAGCTCCAGAGAAACACCCGGGGTGGGTGCTCAAGGGCAGCATTTGGAGCTGATGTTCCTCTGAAACACCTGGAACTGATGCTCAGGCGCAATATTTGGAGGTGATGCTCCACTGAAACGCCCTGGGTGGGTGCTCTGGTGCAATATTTGAAGCTGAAGCTCCAGGGAACCACCTAGAACCTATGGTGGGATGCTAAATTTAAGGTGATGCTCCACTGAAGCCCCCAGGGTGGATGCTCCAGTGCAGTATTTGGAGCTGAAGCTCCAGGGAAACACCCAGGGTGGGTGCTCAAGGCAGTATTTGGAGCTGAAGCTCCAGGGAAACACCTGGAACCGATGTTTGGGTGCTCCAGTGCAATAATTGGAACTTAAGCTCCAGTACAACACTTGGAAACGATGCTCGAGTGCAATATTTGGAGCTGATGCTCTGGTGCGACATCCAGACACCAAGTCCAAGGGTGATGCTCAGGACCAGCCTCTGGGACTGATGGTTGGGTGCAGTATTTGGAGCTGAAACCCCGATGTGGGGCTCAGATGCAGCATTTGGAGCTGAAGCTCCTCTGGAACCCCCAGGGTGGGTGTTCAAGGGCAGCATTTGGAGCAGGGAAACACCTGGAACCGATGCTCGGATGCAATATCTGAAGGTGATGCTCCACCAAAATGCCCAGGGTGGGTGCTCTGGTGCAATATTTGGAGCTGAAGTTCCAGGGAAACACCTGGAACCGATGCTTGGGTGCAATATTTGAAGGTGATGCTCCACTGAAATGCCCTGGGTGGGTGCTCCAGTGCAGTATTTGGAGCTGAAGCTCCAGGGAACCACCTAGAACCTATGGTGGGTGCCAAATTTAAGGTGGATGCTCCACTGAAATGCCCTGGGTGGGTGCTCCAGTGCAGTATTTGGAGCTGAAGCTCCAGGGAAACACCCAGGGTGGGTGTTCAAGGGCAGCATTTGGAGCAGGGAAACACCTGGAACCGATGCTCGGATGCAATATCTGAAGGTGATGCTCCACTGAAACCCCCAGGACGGGTGTTTAAAGGCGGTATTTGGAGCTGAAGCTCTTTTGAAAGACCAAAGCTGGGTGCTCAAGGGTGGTATCTGGAGCTGAAGCTCCAGGAAAAGACCCAGGGTGGGTGCTCGAGGGTGGTGGTTGGAGCTGAAGCTCCTCTGACGATGTTTGGGTGCTCCAGTGCAATAATTGGAACTTAAGCTCCAGTACAACACTTGGAAACGATGCTCGAGTGCAATATTTGGAGCTGATGCTCTGGTGCGACATCCAGACACCAAGTCCAAGGGTGATGCTCAGGACCAGCCTCTGGGACTGATGGTTGGGTGCAGTATTTGGAGCTGAAACCCCGATGTGGGGCTCAGATGCAGCATTTGGAGCTGAAGCTCCTCTGGAACCCCCAGGGTGGGTGTTCAAGGGCAGCATTTGGAGCAGGGAAACACCTGGAACCGATGCTCGGATGCAATATCTGAAGGTGATGCTCCACCAAAATGCCCAGGGTGGGTGCTCTGGTGCAATATTTGGAGCTGAAGTTCCAGGGAAACACCTGGAACCGATGCTTGGGTGCAATATTTGAAGGTGATGCTCCACTGAAACCCCCAGGGTGGGTGCTCGAAGGCAATATTTAGAGCTGAAGCTCTTTTGAAAGACCAAAGCTGGGTGCTCAAGGGTGGTATCTGGAGCTGAAGCTCCTCTAAAAGACCAAAGCTGGGTGCTCAAGGGTGGTGGTTGGAGCTGAAGCTCTTCTGAAAGACTCAGGGTGGGTGCTCAAGGGTGGTGGTTGGAGCTGAAGCTCCTCTGAAAGACCCAGGGTGGGTGCTCGAGGGCATCATTTGGAGCTGAAGCTCCTCAGAAACACCTGGAACTGATGCTCAGGTTCAATATTTCAAGCCGAGGCTCTTCCCCAACACCTGGGGCTGGCCCTACACCCCGGAACGATGCCCTTTCCCAAAATTTGGAGCTGACACCCCTTCTCCACTTCCAGCCATCGTGACTTCAGGGTGGGTGCTCGAGGGTGGTGGTTGAAGCTGAAGCTCCTCTGAAAGACCCAGGGTGGGTGCTCGAGGGCATCATTTGGAGCTGAAGCTCCTCAGAAACACCTGGAACTGATGCTCAGGTTCAATATTTCAAGCCGAGGCTCTTCCCCAACACCTGGGGCTGGCCCTACACCCCCGGAACGATGCCCTTTCCCAAAATTTGGAGCTGACACCCCTTCTCCACTTCCAGCCATCGTGACTCTGGACCGTGGGTGCTCGAAGGCAATATTTAGAGCTGAAGCTCTTTTGAAAGACCAAAGCTGGGTGCTCAAGGGTGGTATCTGGAGCTGAAGCTCCTCTAAAAGACCAAAGCTGGGTGCTCAAGGGTGGTGGTTGGAGCTGAAGCTCTTCTGAAAGACTCAGGGTGGGTGCTCAAGGGTGGTGGTTGGAGCTGAAGCTCCTCTGAAAGACCCAGGGTGGGTGCTCGAGGGCATCATTTGGAGCTGAAGCTCCTCAGAAACACCTGGAACTGATGCTCAGGTTCAATATTTCAAGCCGAGGCTCTTCCCCAACACCTGGGGCTGGCCCTACACCCCGGAACGATGCCCTTTCCCAAAATTTGGAGCTGACACCCCTTCTCCACTTCCAGCCATCGTGACTCTGGACCCGGCCACCGCTCACCCCCAGATCTTGGTGTCGGCGGACGGCCGGACGGCGGGACGTCGGGAATCCCCTCCGGCTCCTCTTCCCTCGGGGGCCGAGCGTTTCGAGTCCCTCCGTTGCGTTTTGGGGCTCCCGGGTTTCTCCAGGGGGAGGCACCGTTGGGCGGTGGAGGTGCGGCCCGGTCCCGACTGGGCCTTGGGGGTGGCTCGGGAATTCATCTCCCGAAAAGGTTGTTTCGGGCTCAGCCCCGAGCGGGGGGTCTGGGCCGTGGGGCAGTGGTTGGGGCAACTTCGGGCTCTCACCTGGCCCAGCCCCACATCCCTGCCCCACGGCCGCCTGCCCCGACGCATCGAGGTGGCCCTGGATTACGCCGGGGGGCGGGTGGCTTTCCGTGACGCCGACAGCCTCGCCGAAATCTTCGCCTTCCCCCCGGCGGCTTTCGCCGGCGAACGGCTCCGGCCCCTGCTCTGGTTGGGCGAGGGGCCGGCTCTGCTCACCCTCTGCCCCTGAGAAACATTCTTGACGAAACCACAACATTTTATACAACTCCTAAACCCAAATTATGGCCCAGCTGGGGTTGTAATTAGTCCTTTCCTCCTCTAACTGGGTTCACGGGGAGGTCACGCCACCCGCAAAAGGAAAAGAGCTTCGTGAAAACCAAAGTGTTTCTTTTCAGCCTCATTCTCCGACGACCTTCCGAGGCTCCGTTTCCCTCCAAAAAACTCCACGGAGAGTTAATTTGAAAGTCCACACACAAAAAAAAAAATAAAGGATAAGCGACAAAAGAGTGGTTTTCAAGGGCATGTCCGGAGCTGACTCCCCAGTGTTGAGATTTGGGATTTTTAGGGGGGGAAATGGAAAAAAAAAAATAAGATCATCCTCTTTTCACCCGCAGGCAGCGGACGAGGCGGATGTCGGCGGTGCGGAGGGCGGCTCGCTTGGCGTGGAGGGCACAGAGCCCCCACTCCTCCAGCAGCCCCAGCATCTGGGCCTCGCAGCCCTCCCGCAGCGCCGCCAGCGCCGCCCCCCGCACCCCAAAACCCCCCCGCGCCCCAAAACCCCCCCGCAGCGGGGACAGGCCCCGCACCAGCCCCACCAAAAGAGCCTCCGGCAGCAGCTTCGGGGCTTTTTTCCGGGAGAAACGAAGCTTTTCCCAAAGCGACGGAGCCCTGGGGGGAGGGGGGCGCTTTTTGGAAGGGTTTTGGGCCGGAGAAGGAGCATTTTGGGGTCGTTTTTTCCCGCCCGTCGCCTGCTTCGCCCGCACCATCCCCACGCCGCTCTTCCCGCCAACCCCCGGCGCCTCGCCTTTTATAGGCGTGGGCGCGCTCTGATTGGCTGCTTTCCCCTCCCGCCGCGGCGTCCCATTGGCTGCTCCTCCTCTGCACCCCCCCTACCCTCGGGTGCGGACCGGAGTGAGGACTTGGTAGGCCGACGAGGCGCAGCGAGGGGGGCGGTGCGGACCTGAATGAAGACTGCGGGTCCCCCGGCGAGGGCGGCGGGACCCTAAACCTCCCCCCCCACTCCTCGCCCCATTTTAAGTGGAAAAAAGGGGATTTTGGGGGCGGCTTTTCACCTTTTGGGGTCTATAATCGACGGGCGTTTCTAAAAACGGGGTTCAAAAGGCGCTTTGTTGTTTTTTTTAATCACCCAAACCCCACCCATTCGGG